GTTTCCATAACTGAAAAATTGCTTGTTGGAAAGAAATATAAGACCAGGGCGGCTTTGATATCTGCTGTTACACAGTATCTAAAACATAGGTCCACGTCATGGTTCCAGCGGGAATAAAAAAGCTCCCACAAAGATGGCAAAAGTGCGTAGAAGTAGGTGGAGAATATTTTGAAAAAGAGTAGAAAGATTTTTTTTAATTGTTGAATGGTTTTCGAGAACGAGTCAAAAGTCCGGATATTTTCCGACTTCCCCTCGTAGATGTACAAGCTAATCTTTTTGTGTGAAGGCTACAATTTCTTAAATTCGTACAGCTTAATACTAGATTTACAGGATCGGACATCTCTTAATTCTATTTGCATAGACCTCCCACGAAAACAGGTGACAGATTTCCAAAATTATCCCCTGATAATGTGCTTAATGAATGAAATTCCAGAATAATTAGGGCTAAAATGTAAACAAAGTAGTAAGATGAAGTAAAAAGGGTGTTAAAAAAACTCTTGGGGAACCCCAAATTGTGGTTTATTCGAATCCAAGATCCCAGAAAACTTTTATATATGTATATATATACATGTATGTACCTTCGGATGAGAATATCTTTATCTAATATATTGGTTAACGCCATGAAAACTGCATTCTGTGTTTAATATGATGCATAATGAAATCAACAAATTGGTGACTTATAACCAAAAATGAAAGTTAGTCTGTCTAGTTATTCAGCCATTATTGGCGCAGCATGGTTAGGGATGCATTTAAATTTACTATTTCAGCATTTTCATGTACATATGTTAAGCTGGTGTTAGGGTAGCATAGACGGTAACTTGCACTCCCCAGTACCAAATGACCATATAGATGAACATTTTCTTCTCTTTTTTTTGGGCTTTTTTTTGGCTTTTTTATTATAATGATTATTGCTTTTGCAATTTGTATAATCAAAATGATATAGTGAAATGGTGTTTGTATGGAAGTAAAAAGTAAAACTGCTACTTTGTTTACATTTTACTATCTTTAGGATATTTTACTACACATTTAGCCATATTTCTTCAGTTAATCAACATCTCGGATAATTTAAATACATAATTGAATGTTTTTAAACACACATTGACCTTTGTTAAGAATTTTTTTTTAAATATCCCTGAAGCGTAATGTGCCTTTAATCTGGTACATGTATAAACATTTTACTGAAAAGTGTTGTAATTTTTAACAACGCAATAAGTGAAGTTAAGGACGTTTTTTTTTAACATTTTTTTTTCATGAAATTATTGTCCTCAAGTCAGGTCAAACTCTTGTTTCACGACTTTCTAAACACTAGTATTTTGTTATAATGTTAAAGGACTTTCCTGTTGTTTAATTCTCTGAATTGCTCACTTAACACGATTAATGTTAACAATCAAATCACAAAGAGACCGTTAATAAGCTCTCAGAGATATAAGTGTTCATAGAAAACTGCTACGCGGAAAATTGTGAGAGGCTCTTAGGCAATACTTGGAATAGGTCTTATACGTCATTTTAACCACGTATATTTTTTACTTCTTAAACGATATAAAAATTATGATTTTAATCTATTATTAACTTAATAGCAATAAAGGACAATGTAATTTGTTTTGAACCTTAATATTAGTTTTTACCACGAGTATAAAACAACTTTAGATTATGCATGGCTTCATCTAATACAAACTGGCAGACATATCTAAACACAAAAGTTTTGTTAATCAGCTTATCATCATCATTTATTTATTTATTTAAATTATTATTTGTTAGAATAATTATTATTTATTTATTATGGATATTCTGATTGTCATTATTAAATTACTAAATTTTCTTTTTTTTTTTTTTTTTTTTATCTTTTAGCCTATCAAAATATAAAATATTAACATTTCTTTCGTTATCAAAGAGAATGACAAAGTTTAAAGCTTTTTCATATACAACAGTGGTCTTTTATTTTGAATTGGACAGTTTTCAAGATATTTTTTCCCACTAAATTGTATTCAATTTGATATTTGTTATATTAAACAAATAAGAAAGCAAGTACTGCTTCACCGATGACCATTTGTGTATAACAATCTTTAAATACCCGCAAACAGATCTGTGTAAGTTTATGATATTATAAGAATCTTACACTGGCTGCCGGTACAGACCGGGATATCTAGCTCGAAGGTTACTGTTTACGGCGGTAACGAGGCTCTGCCGAGTTTCCGCTTAACAGTTACCCGAGAGCTAGCTATTTCCCGTTTGTACCGACAGCCGGTGTTTGATTATTTTTCTTGCATACTACACATCAATTATTTAAGAATCAGAAATTATCAAAACTGATATTCTCATTACGCACTTTTTTCTTATAGTAGCATGTGAACTTACAATTTCATTCATAACGGTAAAATGACATCATCGTAAGAACGCAATTTGGCAATGACGTCATTTAAAACACGCGATTTGTCTTGACATGGAGGGTGTAAGACAGAGTTTTCTAGCACCGGTGTTAACGGTAGATTATAAGAATCTTACACTGGCGGCCGGTACAGACCTGAATACCTAGCTCGAGGGTAACTGTTTACGGCAGTAACGAGGCTCTGCCGAGTTCCGCTAAGCAGTTACCCGAGAGCTAGATATTCCTGTCTGAACCGACAGCCGGCGTTTGATTCTTTTTCTTGCATATTACATTTTCATTCATAACGGTAAAATGACGTCATCCTCAAAACGCAATTCATTCATAAAAGGTGCGCCGCAATGACGTCATTTAAAACACGCGACTTGTCTTACATGGGGGTGTATGACAGGTTTTTCTAGCACCGGTGTTTAATGGTAGATAATCCTGTCTGATATGCAAGAACACTTCGTCTATGGTTAAGTTAAAGCAGCATGCTTCCAGATTCATGCTAATTATCATCAGATATTTTAAAATAAATCAAAAGTAACACATTACGAAGTGGACTTAATTAACACTACAAACGGGGTTTACAAACCAAGTAAAAACACATACATAGGTAAAAACATGCAAAAAAAGCCCTTACTGCGTTAGTAACGCAAATATTCATTGGTGATAAATACTACTTAATCAGTCAATTATTTATGTATTTTTTTATGATTTTTGAATCTTTTCTTTAAAATCCTAGTTATAAATATTATTTAAAAAAAACAACATTTTTGGCTTTGTAATAAATGTGATAAAGTGTAAATGTGGTTAAGTATTATTTATTTCTTTCTTTCCAGGTTTCTTTTATAATATATAATTTTCAAGACTTTCCTTGCTTTAATCCAGAAAAATTCCGAAGTAATCTAAAACAGACCTGGTTAACGCTTTGACGTAGCTTTTCCAAAAAATTTTTTCACAGATCCTGGTTTCGATAAAAAAAACAACACCACTCATTTCTATGATTAGGTATCGTACCTGGAATTCTAACCGGATATTCCGAATTTAATAACGTAAAAAATATCTTTAGAAATATGTTTCATGGTATTCATTTATGCATTGAGTGTATCAGAGATGTTGATTAACTGAAGAAATAGGGCAGAATGTGTAGTAATATGTCCTTAAGATAGCAAAATGTAAAAAAGTAGTATTTTGACTTCAATAAAAAACACCATTTCACTATCATTATGATTACACAAATTGCATGTTCATCTATATGGTAATTGGTTAACTTTTTGGAAACTGTAATGAGCAAGATACCGAAACTAAAAAAGCTTTCAGAAATAAAGATAATTACATTTTTGGGCTTAATGGGCCTTTAAGACAGAGCAGGGGAAGCACATTACTTTATACAAACTGACACTGTGCCAGAACAATTTACATAATGCTAATAGTTAAGAACTTCTAGTAAGTATATTTTTGAAGTTTATGATAGTTATTTTAAAGACAAACGGAATCCCTAAAGTGACGACAGCTGGCTGCAGTGCCGACAGTTTGCTGCTGTAATACTGTAAGCTGTGCAGACAGTTGGCTGCACAGACGACAGTTGACTGCAAAGCAACCAGTTGCCTGCAAAGCAGACGACAGTCGCCTGATGTTTGACAGTTGGCTGTAGTGACGACAGTTGAGTGCAGTGACGACAGCTTACTGCAGTGACGACAGTTGACGGCAGTGCCGACAGTTGTCTGCAGTTACGACAGTTGGTCATTCACACAGTTTGCTGCAGTATTGACAGCTGGCTGTAGTAAAGACAGCTTACTGCAGTGACGACAGTTGACGACAGTGCCGACAGTTGGCTGCAGTAACTAACGACAGTTGGCTGTGCATACAGTTTGCTGCAGTATTGACAGTTGGCTGCATTGCTGATAGTTGACTTCAGTGCCGATAGTTGGCTGCAGTGCCGACAGTTGGTTGCAGTGACGGCATAAATCTAAATTAACTAATAATAACTACAGGTAGGTTTACTTATTTTGTTAATGTTTTAATATCACGCGCATAAAAAAGATTCCATTGTAACAAACTTTTTGTTTATTGAATGGAGATAATCAGGTTATTTTTGTTTCGTTTCACAACTTATTATACTATTTTGAGCGGGGTTTAAAGAAAAATCTTCGGCAAATTCCGAAAAGAATTATAAGTTCAATTTCAAAATATCTCTTGATTGAAATAAATGGTTTTAATATATAATATGATCGCATGTACATGTATACATTCATGTGTGTGCTTATGATCTCATGTTTTATAGCCAAGTAGATTATATGTGTCTATATGTCCTCAACATTTATAAAATGGTTATATATAATTATATAATTCAACATGAAAAATATGGACATATGTAAATATGCCCTCGATGTATGTATATTTGATTTCATGTAAAATAGTCCAATACCTAACTACAATCAGAGGCTTTTAACATTTAACGAGTTAATCAGTTCTAATAATTCATACCTACACCCCATGTCCATGTCTGAAAACTAAAAAATCTATTATAATAAGCAAGTTTTATTTTAATGCAGTCATGTTTACAAACAAAGCGCAGCATTTTGCTGATTGGAGTGTTTAAATAGGCTTATTTCTGTTTCAACGAAAACAGGATGTTGTCGTTTCAAGTATGTAACATTTTTCATTAGTCTGCCGCGTTAATTTCAACTCGCTCATTTTTATTACGATTCGTTTTAGAAAATGTTGTCGATTAAGGTGTTCTTGTTGTTATGGATGTTTATGGGTGCAAATTGTTGGAGAAGCTATAGAACTGGTAAGTAATCGACACATTTTTGTTTCTTACAACACTTTAAGTGTATGAAGCTTTTGTAATGCAATATTTAATTGAGAAATAACATTTGTCTTGACGTTGTATATCGGCTATTTAACAAAGGCTTTTAAGTTTTAATGCTTTGGAATTGACTAGGTAGGCGGTAGTCCTGGATTCTTATTTTTAAACCAATATGACCAATAGCCACACACATCATAAAGATTAAGATAACGTCAGTATAGCGTATTTTATTTCAAAAAATGCAAGTATCGAAGGTAATGTGTAATAATAAGATATGAAACTCGCTGCAATAGTGTATGCGGAATGTCTTTTGAGCATCTGTTTAAAATGAATGGAAAAGGAAAATAAAAAAAAATCAATATTAATGTTGCTAATATTTATTCTTTTCATCGGAGGGAATGTATATATGAAAAGAAGGAGTTATATACATCTTGTTCGTACAAAGTGTTTATGACTTATTGAATGGATAGATGGTTTGATGGATGATTGTATGATTGGATGTATGGATTTCGGCAAACCTAAGCAATCAATATTTTCCATGTTGTTTTTTAACTTCCCAAAACTTATTTTCACCAAAGTGCAGAAGGCACTGTAGTTGAAAAATGTACTTGATGTAGATGTGTCAGAATCTCATATACCAATTTTGGCTATTTTAGAGGATAATATTTCTATGTTGCAAGCTGAAAAATAAAAGGTACACAAATATATTCATGGATTGATTCAGTGAGTCTATGTACACGTGAGTACACGTGTATATTACTTTGATTATGCCTATCAAAATTAATTGTCCTTTTGACCTGCAAATCAGATCACGAGGCAACACTTACAATGACGTAAATAATCGAGCTAAGAAGGCAGTCTATAGATAATCTTTAAGGTGCACAAGATTTTTAGTATACACTTCATTGTCTTGACGTTTGAGCAGCAGGTAAGACGTCGATACTGTAAAATTGGTCTTGGCAGCGTAGTTTTGTTCAAAATATGATAATATGAAGAATGGTGAAAACATTGTTCACGTTTACGAAAGTGAGATACGAAAGAGAACTTTTGTATAGGCCTGTTTGGATGTAACATTTGCAAGGTCCATTGACTTGTATCATATATTGCCTTAATATCATATGCGTGTTTATATACCAAATAAATCTGAGCACTTAACCAACCGCTTATATCCATCCATATTTCCATAGTTTTATATTATCATCTTATTTTCTACAGACAGGGCTTGCACGGAAGCCGGTAAGATTGTCAATGGCTCCTTCAAAGAATCATCCAATAGGTATCGAAAATACCTGTGCCAGGCAAATTATATCAGTAATATACCAGACTTGGGGGATATTGTGTTTAAGTGCGGTTTAATGAAGAAGACAGGATCATATGAATGGAAAGCCACGTCAACTTGGTTTACTGACGGCGGTTTTTTATATCTACAGAATGTAACATGTGAACGTATGTATTTTTTTCATTTCTAATCGCAGCAATAACAAATTTTCTACTAAGAAATTTTCAAAATGGAGTCGTACATATTTGCACTACATCTCTAAGCAATACATCTCTAAGCAACATAACGTAATTATTAATACTATACTATGGTATATACTGTTCAGAATGTGTGCTTCCTCGTTTGTTTTATTATTCAAAATACTGTTTTTACTGGATATATTTTCTCATTATCAGATGTTTAAATGAATAGTACTATCTGTTTATGTATGTACAATAATCTAATGAATGTATTAGATCTAAATATCGAACATATTTTAGAAATTAAAAGTGAAACATTAGCGTATCTATATTGTTCCAAGTTTTGAAGTATGACTAACTTTACAATATTACCAGCAAAGAAAAAATGTTCCGCTCCACCATTGCCAAAGGACATGACCAGAGAAATAACGACCAGGTACCTAATTCCTGTCACGATTAATAGTGTCAAGAAAGCCATAAACGATTTCTACACTGGTGATACAGTAAAGTACAGCTGTAAACCGGGGTAAATACTGTTTCATTGTGTTTGTTTTTGTAAAATATCACATGCCGACGCTCCCTTTTAATGATTATCTCTTCTAACAAAATGAAGTTTCTTTGCTACGAACATTATCAGAAAACGCTTAATACTTACTTGAAAAAGAATATACTAGTAATCAGTCCAAGGGAGTTCACTAATACAATACTAGATACGGATTGGTTAGAGTTGTGCGCTCAATAATGATATTACCTTGGGAATAGAAAATGGGAAATTTCACTCTAGAGGATGAAATTACGCAAAATAAAACTAATTTAGATTTTTAAAATGTTATCTAAAAACATGAGCGACAAGCACAATAATTGAGGACTAGTTTTGTTTTATTTCTTTGTTAACTTCCGAAACTGCCGTTAAGATATCGTATATATGTCTTCATAGGATATTTACTTGTAACCTCATTTGTTTTAAATTGTTTTATCGTCAAGGGATTAAAGCAAATCAATTAACATGTTTTTAATTTTGCCAAAAAAAATGGTAAATCAAAGCGAAGAAGTATATAAGCATGCATAACACATCATTTTGCAGGCTTATGATGTCAAATGACTCGGATACATCATTCTTTTCTGATTATATCTATTATGACGAACCATCGTCATCATCAACATCGACAACTGCAGCACCTGCCACAGTTTTAAAGGATATCACTTGCAACGCAGATGGCTTATGGAATGGCTTTCCTGATTCTGAATTGTCCTTCGGTGAATGTCAAGGTGAATTTTGACTCTTTTGATTAACTTCTTAAAAACCAGTTGCATACAATATCATTTGCGAATAGTTTTGTTTGGTACTTAAATAACGCCGTTTTCTAAATCATTGCATCTTACCTAGTTTATTTGAAATTGTAAAGGACATTCTTGTTTAAAATATATGAAAACTTATTTTTACTATCTCACGTAAGCACAAAGTGCTTAGAGGTGAGCTTTATAGCCCAATGTGATAGCATTCCGAACGTCTTCCGACGTTCATAGTCAGTTGACCGCCGTTATCAACATTTTAACAACATATCTTGCTTAACCACATGATTGATCACAGGAATTATCCATAGGTTGCCCTCTTTTAGAATTGAGCAAATGGTTTTACGTGAATGCATAATAGCCAAAATAGAACTACATATTAATTCAAAACAAACTTTTATCATTTATTATATAGACATTTTGCGTAATGGATAACTTTTCAGCGTTCTTCAACAGTTTTCTACCATACACCTGTTTGAACCTCTCTAGGGGTTTATACATGTAAAGACTATTATAGGAAAATGCATTTTAACTGTTTTGTGCCAACAGCTTAAGCATATGTATATAGTTTTACCTAGTGAGCATTTCTTTGGATCAATTGAAAAACCTATTGTTACACGACCCTAACACAATACTTCAAAATGACCTATGTCTGCATTTAATAATAATGCCCTTTGCCAGCAGTAGACCTTACTGATTGTTTTAAGGATATTGTTACCCTCTTGTTCTAAGTTGTAAATAACAATTTTGTATTTAAATTTCTATACAATGATGTAAAAGATATGATATACTTTTTGTACTTAAGTTTTTTTGGGGGTTTGGTGCCTTCTGGGTGCCCTGCTTTGGTGTGTCGGCGGACTACGTCTTGTGAACGTTGCCGTTGTCTTGTTGATCTTTATTCTCGTTTTTTTTGTTAGGGGTAATTTGGGTTAAGGCTACTAATATCAAAAATAAATGTTTACGCTTTTATAGGTATAACCTTTTTCTTTTTACTGTCTATATTTGGTAGGAACATTTATTGCTCAAGAATTGTTCTACTTTTGGATGGAGTTAGCGGTCAGTTAGTTCAAGGTCACCAGTGCCCAGGGCAAGGTGCTTTTTACCCTTTTGCCAATACAGGTTTTATTCATTGACATATGTGTGTCATATTTGGTTGAAAGATAACTTGCATTTTCTTCTTCCTTTTAATGAAGTTAGGGAAAAGTAGGTCAAGTACAAGCGTGCAATAGTAAATCTTTCTGCACCTTTTAATCTAAATGTCTAAAGTCTGCTTTATGCATGACTGACTTCTCAAGATTGCTCAATTCGTCTTTGAGAGCCTTTATAAGACCGGACAAGGTATACATCTTGCGTTTCTGTAACCTGCGTTTTAGTAAACCCCATCTTCCAAAGTCCATTTGAGCTGCATCTGGGCTTCTTTGGCATCCATTCTGCACGATAAATGTAATTCACTATGCGTTTGTTGATAAAGTTAATTGTCATTTTAGCGGTATGACTGAAGGCCGAGTCTTGAGGGAATACCATATTCCTCTTACCTAGGAAAAGAAAAAGTCGCGAAAATGTTTTTTCAAGAATGGCTTTGGAAATTTGTCTATCTAATAGTTTGCATTGACTTTTACCCCGTCAAATCAGAGAAGCCTTGCCGTTCCCGGCAAAACGATAACAGTTTATTTAGGTCTGTCTCATTAGTTCGGTCGTAGCAAACACGATGACGTCCATTACTACCGGCCATATGAAACATATCATCATCTGTGGTGACAACGTTTTTTTCATTTTTCACAGTTAAGATAGGCGTCATGATCGAGCACGTCGTTTCAAAATCTTGGTCTCGCTAAGCCTATTAACATGGCATTTTTTCCTGAGATTTTCCTTTTAGAATGTTTGCTATTACTCTGTTGACAGTGTCTAGAGACTCCCCACGCTTAGCTGGGAGTTTTCTTTGTATGGAGGGATTCACCAACGTAACCATATTCTGATTTAATGCACGGCGTCAGCAGTAGCTCCTATACGACTTTTGTAAAAGAACCACTTTTACCTATTTTGCGTATGTTATTTCTAATTATACCTTAACCATGTTGAATGCAATGCACTGTTGCAGCAGACACATTAAGTCCAATCTGTTCACAATGTTCTGTTTTGCTTCAAAATTCCTTAAAAATGCGAACAGATAAAGCATTTATTTTTGGTCTAACTGTAGTGAATTGTTTTAAGTGGATGTATGATACACTACTTGACATGAATTATTCGCTTTGCACGAGTTTTCGTAAGGTATAAGATCTGATAACGTGATTCGAGCAGGTTTAATAGTACTACTAGACCTGTTTGCTGAAGCCAATCCCGTATCGAAAGTCAACCAGAACTGTAACATATTTATGTCCTGCTGTAATTCATTAAATTTGCGTTATCTGCACAAGATGTTTTTTAATAAGGGTAGTTAGATATCATTTGTATACTTCAGTCTATAATTTTGAAAAAAAATAAGGTTATATTGATGAAATAATAACTCAAGGTTTATCAGTGCGTTTACATTTCATACCATTCGCCGCCACTACTGCCCTAATCACCAAATTACTTAGGTGAAATAAGGTTCGTCTACCATTGTTTGACATTTGTCATCTGTGATTTAAATGCTATTTTGAAAACATTGCGTTGCAGTTATGAATAACGGTGTAATTATTCAATAAGATACATGGTACCAAAAACATGTTGGATTCATATTGTTTTGAGTGAGGATTCATGATTTTTTGTTTATTTCTCTAAAATCGTAAAGTACTAAAAATAGTGCATGGGTTGTAACTTAAAATAGATGCTTGAATTGCCAAAACATGAAGTTTGGGAAGAAGTCCTCTTCCTATAACACTGTGAAAAAAGGGGCTGCTGACTGTAAGAAGGGCATGGGGAGCATTGGAGATGATGAGCGTCCTGGGCGGCCAAAAGAGGCCACTAACGATGAAAATGCCAAAAACAGTGCACGATCTGGTCGTGTGCGACAGAAGACGAGACCTGCGAAGCTTTACTAGGGAAGTGGTTATAAGCCTTGGTTCAGTTCAACCAATTCTGACTGGTATCTATGGCATGTCAAAGGTTTCCGCTAGATGGGTTTCCAGACAGTTGACTGACGGCGAGAAACAGACCAGCAATTATGTTTCTATCCTTAATGGACATGCTTGTTTTAGATATGAATGTCAAAATTTATTGCGAAACGTCGGTATGTCGGTCAGCCTCTCAAATTTATGGTTTCCTGACGATAACTTGAGTTTTTGAATGAGATATTGTTATCAAATCTAGTACATAGCAACCTTATGTAGAAACCCCGATTAGAATTGTGTTTGGACCCCTTGGGATCAAGACATAGATCACTGCAATTCAGAATAGAAGAATCGTTTCTTGACAATAACTAGAGTTTCGAATGAGAAATTGTAATAATAAAACTTTATATATGGCAAGCTTATGTAAAGACCCAATTTTGATTCGCTTTTAGAACAAGGACTTACATAATCCAATCTGTTTTAAAACATTCGTTTTGACATATTCCTTTATTACCTTATGCGAGTAATAACGTCCTTTAACGGCATCACAATTTGATCTGTCTTTTTCAGGAATAATCAAACAAAGGTATCATTAGTCATATACTCCGGTAGACTCATATTAACTTCACGGAAAATTTATGTCGAGTTTTCATACATCTTATTTCAACTGCTTCATTATTCATTTGTTCTCCCCCCTTTTCATATGCTGAATACAAATAATGTTTTTTAACTGGTCTGCTATTTCTACATTGCATGTGTCCAAGTGGCTTTCAATTTGCAACAAGTAAAAGGGGACTGGAAAATATTCCGAAAGTAGACTTTAATTCATTTATACGCTTTTTATCTGCCACAGGCTTTTCCCAATATTTATATCATAAACATTAGGTTACATATCGTTCAGGCTTTTGTAATTCAAACTGTAGGAATGTCTTTTCTGTGTCTGCAACTATGCCAATATTGTAAACGTGAATCTCAAGTCATGTACATGGAGCAGATTCTACGTGCAATATACTAAGAGATAAAGGATAAATTGTGATAATTAACATTATCCTATTGTATAAACCAATTTAGTATTACGTGATAATGAATTTCAAAATAATTCTAAACTTTTTAAAGGTTTTGTAATTTGCCATTTTATTTAACCAGCTTCAAATATTTTATATCATGTCTTTCTGAAGTAGTTCATGTTTAATGTTTCTATTTTTTCGTATAATTCCGAACTTCTGAATTCCAAAGGCTCCCAACTTCCTAACTTTTTGGCTAGTCCAACAGGTGTTCAGTTTTTAGAAGTTGCGCTGTAGCATTCGATGATATTTTTTTCGTGCTTCTTGCAGATGCGTTATATGCAATCCTCAATTTCTGTTGTTTTGGGGGGTTTTTTTTCTAAAAAAAAACCATGTGGGTTGAACTAAGAGTGCTTAAGAGTGCTTTAATCATGTTCAGTCTTTTTCCACGCTGATCTTTAATGATGCCACTATATCATCATGTTTTTCACTCAACGAGTTTTGTAAGGTATTTTTTTACATTTCACTTTGTTTAAAATGTTATGGTTTTCACTAGTGATTAACACATTTGACTAAGAACCTCCTCGCAATCAGATCTTTTAAAAAAAATCATACCATTTGTCGAATTCATAATGCATTGTACTATTTGCCGAATCTATGAAATAATATTTGGTTTCACTGTAACTGTTTTTCTGCTTTTTCCTAAGGTCACAATATACTGATTAAACCTCTCACGTAAGATACTCACTATTTGTTTTCATCTTCTATTATTATATCCAATTGAAAACAAAAATCGTTTGGTTGTTTTCTCCTTATCAAAACAATCGTCTTAATTCGTAATTTGTTTGTTGGTTCAAAGCCTCAAGACATCGAAAATGTTATTCATTATAAACAATTAACTCTCCAAAACTGTCTACAGAATTTCTAGCAGGATTTTACACTT